AGTGTGAAATCTGTTTTCTGCTCTATTGGGTCTATACCTGTAGTAACACAAGGCAAGTGATGGCTGTGGTTTGTGTTTCAATAGTTGAATGACAGTGCTTTCACTTGATTCTGACGTCTGCTGCAGTAATTATTGCAGTAACAGCTCTAGTCAGAAGCTGGATTTCAGAGCAATACCCCTGTCAAATATTACAGCCTCAGCTTTACAAACAGAAAAACTGAGGCAGAAAGGGATGAGATCATGCAGCTTGTTTATGCAGATAGTTAATTGCACATGCTTTAGTGTTCCTTGTGACCTAAAAAGTAATAGGGAATATCACTGAAAGAACTTGGATCCTGATTAACGATTTTGTACACCTCCATGTTTTTGTCAGCAAATTTTTAACTACAACTTCTCACTTTTTCCATCCTGCAGATTTTTGTTTATTTTAATTCTCCTGTCCTTGGAAGAAGCCAAGGCATTTCTATGAAAAAGCTAGGGTCGGCTGAGGGCTCAGGTCAAGAAGTCTGTCTTGGGTGTCACCTCCTCTGAACTCAAGGTCTTCATCTGCAGAGTAGCAAGGTGATGAGGACACAGCCTGCTGGTAAAGGACTAGGAGATGTGGCGCTGGAGTAGAGGTATCAGAAGGGGCCCATGGAAGAGCCTAGCATGCTCAACAGTCCAGCCTGATGTGCCTTTGAAGCAGAGCTAATGGGCATTTCAGAGCTGGCAGGAAAGGGTGTAGACATTATCAAAGATTGATATGCAAAAGATCAATCCTTCTATACAACTGGCTTACTCTGGAGCCAAGGTCTTCCATTGTGGGGCTGTTGCATTTTCCTTCTAGGCTTAGATACCCTAACACTAATTTTTCCTCCTGGTCTTATGTGTAGTTTAGGGCTTATGTCTTTGGTATTAATGAGATAGCACAGAGACTTAAAGGTGGGATACTCAACTCCCAGGTAATCAATCTCATTATGAGATACTGTTACTCTGGTAAGGTTATGTTTCTGTCTCATTTTGTCTAGAAATGCATTCCTAGAAATGAGAGATGTTTCCTTTTACAACTAATACTTGTATTTCTGCCAAAAAGCTGTAGCTTTGAATCAGCATACTCTGAGAAAAGGCTCTGCTTAGAAATTACTGCTTATTTCTTTGGGAAATAATTGGAATCACTTATTAAGTATAAAGACTTAGAAGCGGGGAGGAAAAAAAAAAAAATCCACATTCAGGAGAGGACAGTCAGTACTTCCCAAATCATTCTTCTCTTTGTTCCCATGAAAATGGTCACTTGAAGTCACTGCCTACTGACATAGTCTTATAAGAACTTGGGTATCATTCTTAGACAAGCGTTAGAGAAAACTACTTCTGGAAACTACACAGTTCAGTCTCCCTAAACAGAAAAGTTTTATGATCTTTACAGATTCACCAGTGACAAAGCAAAACACCTTTCAAGCCCGACTGAATTCACACAGCTAAATAAATCACTTTTTAAGTGTTTAAATGTCGCTGTGAAAGTGAAGAGATGAAATGTGCTGTATATCATCTCTACAAAACCAAAAGCAGTTATATTATAAATAAACAGAGTTTGCTTGGTATTAAGGACATAGGAAATTCCATTCAAGAACAGACAAATGGCACATCTTGTCTGGTATCCTGCATCTGGCACAGGCCTATAACAGATGCTTAAAATACTTGGCTCTCTTGGTCTCCCCTGTTCCACCTACCACCGATGTTATAAATCACAGTTTTCCTAACCTCTGGTGAGAGTTTCTTTCCTGCTTGCTTGTATAATGTGGGAGGTGGAAACACAGGCCAGGGGAATACATATTTGCCCTATGTGATACTTATTACAGTGGCTGGTACTGAATTTGCTTGAACTGTGGTTCTAGCTGTTTCAGAACATATATGGAATTACCAACTGTATTGCCTATGTAGGCTGTGTAGCCTAGGACTATGCTTAGCTATAGAGAAAGGAGGGAGCAAACCCCTTCTTACCCTCATTTGCACGTAGCCAGCAAGTCTGCCTACCACTAGCCTGTTATTAATAAGTTGCCTTCCTAATTGTTCCCTACTACTCAACGACATACATACCCTGGTATGGCTTTTTTTGTACTTCTGTAATTCAATGCATGATGAATAAAAATAAGAGTTTATCATTTATCAAGCAGAGCTTACTTTCATCCTTATCAAAAGATGTTATCAAAACATGCTTCATCTACGCAGCAGGTCGCTTCCCACAGACCGTGTCCCTTTATTTTTTTACAGTCTCATTCATAACAGACATTAAATTTAATGGTACAATTGTTAAGGGCCTATAAAACACACAAATGAAAAATCTGAACCTTTCCATTTGAAAAGTTAAAGTGTAATTACATTACACCTTCTCTGTGCTCCCCTGTGAAATATAACAGCATTTTAAAAAGGCTAGAGAAAACCTATGACTATAGGCAACTACCATATAAGGTCCTTTAACATGGCATCTTACAGGAACAACAGAAAGACAGGCAGACGTAGAAAATATGATACCTCATGTCTAAACTATATTGTTAAAAATTTGAATTTGAAGGAAAAAAAAATTGTGTCACTCAGTTTAAGCATATCATCTCTACAGTTGCTGAGCACTGCTCTTGGAGAATGACCTAATACATCTTTACATATTAATAAGGGAAAACTGAATCCTGATGGTGTGCCTAGGCTGTTGGAATATAGTTGCAGATGTCAGCTTTCTCCATTCTCAAGATTTTTTTGATTTTGGTTCCATCGTACTGAATATAACATTCAAAGGTCTGAATCTAGAGCAGACCTTTGATCTAGCTACCCTGAATTTGTACCCACAAAAACCAAGATTTTGCAATATCAATCTGCTTGAAAGAATGGACACATTAAAGCTACTGTAGTACCTAGCAGAAGTTTGCATCTTTTAACATTTTCCAAATCAACCATACATTCAGTGATGGTCAGGCTCAGTACTAGCAGAAGCTGTGACTTTTTGTACTTCTCTCCTGTTGTACAAGGGGAATCGCTCTCAGAATATCCATCTTATTTCAGTCAGGAACAGAAGTAGAGGTTTTTCAGGGCAGACAAATGAGTCAGCCACTTCTTCCAAATAAATGGAAATGGTGTTCCAAGTTTCCTAGACAGCTTTAAAAACTACACAGAGAAATTCAGCTGCTTAATATATTGTGTTCTACACCTCACATTTAAGAGAACACAAAATCACATGCTTTTTATTCCAGATACAAGTTGTTGTACACAGCAGTCCAAAACCATCTCATTTTGTCTCTGTCCTTGACATGCATGCTACTCATCATGCTTGTGCCATTCCCAAGGACAAAAGCAGCACTCTCCAGAGTAAAGAGCAGCAGCTGAGGTTCCCAGACTGCCACGAGTATCCTAAATAATACTGCCTGAATGTCTGATTGCATTTGCCCTTTTGTACAATAAGGATGTTAATATTTTGCTTTCTGAGGAGAACCTTGATTAATATACCAGTGACAAAAAAAGGCACAAGTTTCAAGTTTAATTGTACAGTAAAATATAACATCTATATGGATAAACAACTAAAAGTAGATATATAAAACTGTAAAAATAATTTCTTTACTGCACACCTTGCCTTAACAAGAAACATAACTCCTTCCTCCCTCAGGAAAGCTGAATACACTGACTCATGTCTTTGTTTAAGTGTCATGGTAAATTTGTTCTCTTATAACATGTAGTAGTTTAGCTTTGAACTTTTGATTTTTGGAAAAGGCAGAGTGGAAAAATGTTTTCATGGGAGAAGACTACACATTCCAGAGCTGCCGACTGTTACTCGGAGGGGGAGGAGGGGAGAACTGGACAACTTAGGTTTTAGGCTTTGGTTGATGCAACTTGTTGCCTGGTATTTTGTAATCAACCAAAGAGTTTACACTGTACAGTGAAATATTTGATTTCTCTCTCATTTTTTCCAGTTTTTGCATATTCAAAACTCTCAACAAGCTTGAAACAGAGAAGAATTAGCCTTGTGTGAATAGAAATAGTGATCCTTTGTAATATAAAGTAGTCCAAAGAGAAAATAATTCAGTTTACTGTAAATTACAGAGCTATGCAGACAATGTTACTCATAAAAATAAACCAGAACAAAATGTGAACCCTTCATGATGTCTTTGCAACCTAAGCAAGTTTTAAACAGTTCTCCTCTGCTGCTTCATGTTTATTTAATGTATTAACATTTGATTATGTAAAAAAATAAAATAGGTTAATAAAAAAACTTTATGTAGCTTATCTATTCATGTAAAGTGAAAAATATGTCCTGAATATTTTGAAGAGTATTAACACACATGCTTTTTTCCTTTCTCTTCCTACAAAGAGAAGAAAACACATATCGTCAGAACCCGTTTGATACTCAGCACTGTTATGATCTCTTCATTACTGGATGTTGAGTTTGGATGTCAGAACTGGTAGTGAAGTACTCTCCTATTAAGCTGAGGTAATTTTCTTCATACAGTTGAATTGTTTAAAGCATTACAGAAGATGCCCTTCCACTCACCTATTCCAATAAAAACATTCCTGGGCAGAACATTGTATCTTGCAATATAGAGTCATTTGATGTGAAAGACATGAGAACTGATGCTTTTGTTAACAGTGCATTCATTACTATAAATTTAGCAAGACCACATTATTTAAGATGACCACACTTCACTAGGTTTGGAAAGCAAATGCAAGTGTAATCTCCTTTCACTTCATAGTGGGAATAGTGACATGATAGATGCAACATCCTGGATTCATGGCCTATGGAAAGACAACCATTATAGATATGTCAGAGATTGCATTCTTTGCTGCATTGGCATTAAGAACTAAAGTCTTTGAGGACAAGAGAGTATAATCAATGAAAATGTCTAATGCTGAAACAATGCAAGTTAACAAGTCTTTCAAAGTTTCATTTTCTGGGGAAAAACTGCCATTGAAAAGGATCCATTATGTCAAAAATTTTAACAGACAAAGGCTAGAAACTACATGAAAATACTAGCCCCAAGCCCGAGACGAGGAGTGAACTCCACTCACAAAGCCAGAAGATGTCAGGGTATTATTCTGAGAGAGCAAATTTGATGAGGACACCAACTGCTTTCAGACACATTGAGATAAGTTTCTACTTAGTGGGATGGGTTATTTCATAAATAGTATTCACTCAGCACGAAAAACTGCATTTATGAAAGCCTACCAGTCACAGATTAATAGGGTTCATGTTTTTCTCCAAGAGCAGAGCTGCACACAGTGCAGGCCTGATGTAGCCATATTATGTTAAAGGATACAGATGGGAAGACAGTCAGCTGCAGAATTGTATTCAGAAGAAACAAAAGAAAGTAAGTGGCCCTGAGACTGGCCACTGCCCATAAGGATGCAGAGATGCAATCAAGTTCAGAGCTAAGGTACATAGAAAACATTTTAAGAAAGTTTTCTACCATCACCCGGCTTTAATGCATCCCCACCTTTGCTAGTTATGTCAGTAATCAAGGTACTGTCAGTTTTCTGTCCATTGCTCTAATAGAAGTGCACACCTTTCACAGTATATTAACATTCCTTTTCCCCCAATTTAAAAAAAAGAAAAAAGCTTCTAGAGATACACACCAATACAACTGAAACAGAAAAACTCAGTTAGTGTAAAGAATTAATTGCTTTAGATAGAAGATTTAAGTGGGTTATCATATAATCACCGTTGCAGAGAATAAAGAATATAGAGAGGGGTGCACCAGGAGATCAGCTAGAGGATAGCTGCATTTTAGTAGTATATCTAATAAAGCTGCCTCAGACTTCACATTTGCTTTCAAAGTAATGGAATTATCTTACAAGACAGTAACCAACATCTCACATAATTCTTTGAGGTCATTTAAAGCCTGCCAGTTAAACAAATGTTACTCTGATTTTTTTTTTTTCCCATGGATTTGTAATATCTCCTGTATACTTTCATCAACTTTTGTCCTGTGTCCTAAGCTATCATGGGAACCACTGAGAAATTGCTTGCCTAAAACCAGACACATGTTTTCAATACCTTCCTGTTATTAATATTCCTTAAGTTACATTTCATCTTCCAGTCAAGGTTTGCTGCAGCAGTTTCTCTTTCGATGCAAGTCAATTGTATAGTACCTTGGATTTCAGCTAGAATGCACAGTATGTCATATATACAGTAACAAATAATAGCTCAATTTTCCCAAAGTAGGTTAAATCAGGAGTTTTAAGGATAATCAAAACCATATTTTTACTAGCAAACAGAGCCAATAAGTCATTGAAGCTATATAAATATAGTCATACCAACATTGCACTTCATTATAAAAAGAATCTTGCACCCAGGAACACAAAAATTCTTGCTGTGGAATACTAAATAATTTTGGATCAAATAAATGGAAGAATACACTGATCTTTGCATGAGATTGTAAAAGGGATCCCAGTAAAACAAGCTGAATCTTCAGACTTTTGTAAATGTTTCATGACTTTCTTATCAGACATTAGAAAACTTGAAGGACTTTGAGCAGAGCAGTATTATTTACAGGAGAAGTATATACTGGTTGTATTCTTTAAGTGAAACTTATGCATGATTACATATACATATACGGGCAAGTGTACAAGTGCATGTTTGTTTTTAGCAGTCTGTTACTAAATATTTTGGACCATCCTTCAGTGATGCCAATAGATCAGTCCCACTCAATTTGGTATTTTATATCAGCAAGTTATGCTACATGTGAGAACATTTTTTTTTAATAGCTTTCTTTTCACTGCTAACTAAAAAGGCCAATTGATCAATAAGTGGAAGTTATCTGACCAGCAGCCAATGTAGAACACAGTCAACAGCAATGATTCATGGAATTTTTACAGTTTTTTGTGAGGTTTTTTTTTTTAGGAAAGAAACTTATTTCCCATACTGTGGAATGGAAATATAAAGCTGAGAAATTAGATTGATTTAGTCAAAACTAAACACTGTCCTTATCTCAGAAAGATAGCACTGTGCAGTCCAGCCAAATTGTGTCTACCTGAAAAAGGGAAGAATTTGATCATCTATAGCTGAAATCACACCTTTTTTAAGTTATTCTAACTGAAGTGTAGGCGCAACTAAACTGAATGATTTCACCATACTGAGTTATTTCCCACGTTCTTTTATTACTCCAGCAATGTCAAAAAATGCAGGGACTGGGGAGTCATATCATCTGTAGAAAAGAGAATATTGTGGTTTCTAAGAAAAATATTTATTACCAAGCGAGCTATTTTGATTTATTAAATGATAGCTTCCCATCATAGTGTTGTTTTTGTTATGGTGCTTGAAACCACAATGGTTGTGTAACGGCAGGACTTTATTTGTTTAAAGGCATCCACTAGTGTTTTGCTTAATAGAAATATCAGTTCACAACATTGCCAGGTTCATAGAAGCTCATCCAGGAACAAACTCTTAAAAAATTATTTTTTTCCTAGAGTGTCTATTCAGCCAGTGCAGTCACTGTGTCTCACTGCTGGTCTTCTACATTAGATTTATAGGATATTATAATTAACAACAGGTGATGGGCAGCACTACATGAACAGCAAGTTAAGTGAAAAGACTGGCAACTCAAGAGCCACTTGTGAATCATCAGAACTTTTCCCTGGATAAACTCAGTAGTAATCGTGGTAGGTTTTCTGGCAATTGTTCATTGGGGCTTTTTGTTCTGTTTTGCACGGTCTGCTTTGTTTTCTTGTTGGTTTTGTGGGTTTTTTTTTCCCCCACTACCAACACCCTGCTTTCTTCTTTCTCATGTCAAAGATTAGGGGTCGTCTGTCTGCTTTTACAGTTATGTAGCTTTTCCTATGTTTACCTATCTACAAAACGAGACAAATCATGCCTAGTCACAGAGACTTCTTGGAGGATTACAGACAAGTGCACACACAAAATTTTAAAGTTATGCAGATTTTTAAGAGACGCTGGTGTCTCCATTATTCCAGCTGTCTCAGACTCTCATTCTGTACAAATAAACCAAAGGAAGAGATTCAAAACATGCACAGCCTTCACATCAGTTTTAAGAAATGCTGTTCTTCAGCTTAAGACTGAAAAGGAGGAAGACACTGAAAAACATCAATCAGCAAAACAAAAATATGTTCCAAATGAGTTTTCATTTGCATAGTGAAACTAATACCATTCTTTGTGTTGTTTTCCTCTTTTAGGTGTGTTGGGAAAGGCAATGATTTGTTCAACTAAGTGAAGGACTTGTATCTACTAATAGATGAAAGTTTCATGAATCATTTCCAATGTACTAACCTCATGTGATAATGATACTCATGAGTTAATTACAGGTCCTAACAGAATGATTATAACAAAGAAGTGGTTTGGAGTTTTTCCTAAGTGAAAGCCACACCTTTGTTCGTGATAATTGCCTCCATATCCTCATTGACATAAATACTTTAAATATATTAACTGGTAGGATGAGGTAAATAAGAATATTAAAAAAAAAAAAAAGTTATTTGTACTATAAACACGATTAGAGATATTTTTTTTACATTCCACACTCCTGCCAGTATGGTTCCCCACATTCCTCTAAAAATAACTGTCATACGTGAAATTAATTTCTGTTAAAGCTTCCCCACCCCAAAATACACTTGAATCGGTAACCTTGAAGCTGTTAGAATTACTATATTATAGAGCAATGACTATTATTTTAGCTTTATGTTACCAAGCTGCCAACAAGAATGCAAGAACATGTGGCTTAAAGTTTGAGTTTGTTACAATACAGTGAGCTAACGTTCTCTTATAACTCTTTTTACATTGACTGTGGAAAAACATGTTCATTTTTTCCTGAGTTTATGGGATCACTGTAGGCATAGACTGGATATTGGTACTAGAGAATTTACACTGTGACATAGGCTTGCATATACTAACTCACATACGTGCACTTCCATAATGGAAAGTGATCAGTTCTAATGCCTGTTCTTTGCTTGTGATTGTACAATTGGACTACTTGTCTCAAATCCACCAGTGAACACCAAGTTGTATGTTTACTCTGCGCAATCGAAAACAGTACATACTTTTAGATAATGTTCTGTTAACTTCATTGTGAACCGGAGTCTCAACTGGTTACATTAAACTGCTTCATTTTATAGTGGTGAATTTATCCTGCTAGTTGCAGAGTTTGTGCTTCATTAAAATTCACATAGCAGTACTTACTTATCTATAGCTGAGACACAAAGTTGCCCAAGGGAACACTTGTTAATCTGGGTAATTAATCAGAGGTGATGGGAAATTTTCCTTCATGTTCTTGCTGACCTCTAGGTCACCATCCAACTGTGAAATTTTGGCCTCACTGAAGTGGAAAGCAAGTTTCAGTAACAAGAATAGGCCAAGACATTTCTCACAAAGCACTTAATGATCTGCTGTCATCTGGCAAAGTTTCTCTATGCAGTCTTTTTTCAGAGCTGAAGAAATAGTTCATTTCTGTTCAGTATTTCATATGCATATGATACATAAACAAGCCCCTTATATTGGTAATCTTATGTCCATTTTAAGGAAAGTTCTACATTTCTTTGGGGTAAATACATTCATAAAGGGTTTGAATCTATAACTCGAAGTCTCTCAGCTAAGTGAACTTCAAGTCACATCTTCAATAGAAAATTTGTGGGTTTGCATGGGCAGGGAGAAAATATATGATTGTCAAAATGCTTGGAGATTCAAGCACATAGCTTGAAATGGCCTCAAGACTTCTACTTTGTAGAGAGGCTAGTCTCAAAGATAATTTTATTTTTATTTTAAAAAAGAAACACTCTTTCCATCAGATGCCCAGATTTAGAGATCTGTTACTCAAAATAATAATAATTTTAAAACCCACAAACCTTCATCCTATAACGTTTTATTTTTTGGTGGCTAGGCACAGATTTTAAAATTTGTTTATGTAGAAACCAACTGGGGATGTGTTTTACTTATGCAAATGCTTCAGAATAGTTAATATAGATACTTTCGCTGCACAACAGTAGTAGGAATTTTAAAAAGACTGAACACATTTCCAAATCAAGAGAAGAATCCCCCCCAACACAAAGCACAAAACAGAGACAGTTTTCTTAGAAAAATTTTCATTGATTTAGATAAATATTAAACCTAGCTGAAACTAGCAACTCAGCAATTTTATTTCAGGTATTTAACTCTTTCAGATGAGACTTTATTAATACTGAGTCTGAAAGATGAGTTAGCGCTTATTTCATTTTTTTATTAACTACTCATTAGTTTAGCCTAGAAACAATATTTTTGCCTGGCTACATCTATTTAAAACAACATTATGTTAAGAGAGACAAAATATACAAAACAAATAATGAAAAGTTACAGCATATAGAACAGTAGTTTATAGGCTAAATTTGAATTTGACTGATTTTTGTGACCAGGCTGGATGAGGCCTTGGGCTACATGGTCTAGTGAGAGGTATCCCTGCGTATGGCAGGGGGATGGAACTAGATGATCTTAGAGACCCTTTCTAACCCAAACCATTCTGTGATTTAAGTGTGTCTACAACACACAAAACTGCTGAACATAGATATTGATGGACAGGTTTACACAAGCTCACAAAGAAAGCTGCAAGCTTGCTATTCCTTTTTTTGATTGACTCCCTGGCTCACAGTAAATTTGTTTTGATTAAGAACATACTGTGTTATTGCTGAATGCTCTTGTTTTGCATGCATCATAGTAGTTTCACTGTAGCAGGAGCTAACTGAATGCTTATTTTCTCAAGTAAATTCATACCATCATGAATTCTAGCATGGACATTTCAGAAGGTTTATTTCTCGTTGTTAGGACTAACTCAAGTCCTCCATAATAGATTCACAAAGGCATTAGTAAGTTTATGAGTTTAGCAAAAGTAACTGGCTCTCAGCATTAATTTCAGCCTTGAAAGTCTATCATAACAAGTCGTAGTATCTTGGGTCTGAAAGAGAACTGTTCTTTACAGGTGGATACTTAGATGGATGTACTTTCTTAATACTATTTCTTCTAAATAAAAGTTAGTGCTAGTATTTTTCTTTTAGACTGAGATATCTTATTTGCTGAGTAATTTATAAAATAAGACATTTCTGGGGTCAAGTTACCACATGTACCAAGGAGGTCTACATTTCAGTGCAGGCCTTGGATGCAGGATTTGTACCCACATTATTCAGGCACATAAATTCCACTGAATACTTCCACTGAACACTTCCAGTGAACAGGAGTCAGGCCACCCACTGTGTTAAGTCTGAGTACAAGTTCTATTTGTGTGCTTCCATTCATGTTTCTGAAAACATGCTGATGATATACTCCTTTACATTGGAGTTAGGATGATAAAGTGCCTGGGAAGTAATGACATGCCGAAGACTGCTTAGCAATATTCATTGAACTCAACAATAGATCTACATGAATCCTGTCGTAAAGAATGTAAAATCTTGCTGCTCAACTGTAGGAGACATTCACACTGCTTACTGATCTGTTTATGTGTCCTATCATGCTGATACAAAGCAGCTACAGGTACCTCAGTCAGTGGAGTGACTGCAGTTAAAGTGAATCTTTTATGTAATACTTTTCACACTGGGGACAGAATTAAGTACCTGCTGATATTGCATCTTTGATTTGTCAAAGTGAATCTTTTATGTAATACTTTTCACACTGGGGACAGAATTAAGTACCTGCTGATATTGCATCTTTGATTTGTCAAACTGAATCTTTTATTTATGCAGATGTACACATGCTCATATATAAAAGTTTCTTTTTGGGGAAAGGTGCTATAAAACATTTCAGGTAAAATCAAAAGTCATATAGAAACAATACTAACTATGCTGTATTTGGGCTGTAGGAATAGAGGATAGGAAAGAGGAAGGCTCTTTGCACAAGTAAAGAAACCTTGTATGTGAATGGTACAACAAAAACCCCATAAAATTTACAATTCCAAAAAAATACCACCTATGTTTCTGTTCCCTTATTAAATGAATGGATAGTACCAAGTCTGCTCAAGACATAGATGGTGTATGCTTGGCTTTAGCAAACTCTGCTCACACCAGCTCACATCCATAGGGATACTGGGACATTTATCATTTTATCAGGAAAAAAAAAGTCTGTGATTGCGAGGGAATAAAGGAATTGATGACATCAAGGCTTTTCAGAGATTATTATCCAAACTTTACAAGTTTACTTGCAGAGAATTACTAATACCAGACCACCAGAAACTTACGTATGACTGCTCCCAAAACTCTGCAGACATACACTGTAGTAACCAGCTGTCACTATTTATCTTTGCCTGAGCTTAGCTCTACCCCTCATATATCACAATTCCAGAAAATAGAACAGGTTACAGGAAAGGTCAGAATTCGTTAAGTACTGATGGATTAGAAGTAATAATTACTAATATTTATTTAAAAAGGAATTATTCCCAACTTACAATATTTTAGAAATTAGTAAGAAAAATAGCGGCTGGAGAGATCTGGATCATTCATAGACCTAGCCAAGTTAAAGATGGGAAATAATTAGATCATCCAGCCCACTTTCCTGCTAATGCAGTACTGTTCCCAACAGTACATTTTCTAGTGCTTAGTTTCTGAAGTCCCTTGAGAAGGGAGATTTCAGTGTTTCCTTTGAACACATCCTGGCACACTCTGTCAGGGACATTTTTTCTCCCTCTATTCAGTCAAGT